AGCTGGCGGAGCCCGCGTTGCGCCTGGACGCTGGTCTCCCGCAGCTCCCCAAAGGGTGCAAAGCGTGCGCTTGGGACCAACAAACGTTTTCATTCTAAAATGACGAGGTCCCCCAAAGCGGCTGGAACACACCCGGGATCGGCCTCCCGACCCCAGTCATCTGAAAATCCCCCAGCGGGGCCGAGGTTAAGTACTGGTTCCGAACCCGCGGCGCCCGCTTCGGCTGTTTGTGGTCTCGGGTGGCGGCCCCATTAGTATGAGCCTAGAGGGGGGGCAAATAAAACTACCGGGCAGGTTAATAAACAGCCGGCCGGCGCAGGTTAACAGGGGCCTCCCTCGCCCTCGCCCGCCCCACCCCCATCTTTTAAGGAACCCTTTGCTTTCACGGGGCATTGCCTTTTCTTTATGTTCCCGGGTCGAAATCTCCGCCGCACGGTGAAGTCTGGGTTAATGTTTTATAAGGGACTAGATGCCTTCGTCTACCTGCTGGGCTTTCCTGACCTAACACTAGGGCTGAGCTCGCCCTTCCGCCGGCCCAGGACCCCTTCTGAACCCCGGCCACGGTGCCGCCTCGGAAAATCCCCGAGTGGGCCGGGGACCCCTCCGCTTCCCGCCCGCGGGGCCGCGCTCCCGCACCCAGTTTCAGCCGGCCAGGGGGGTAAGCTGAGATTTCGTTTCTGCACTTGACCTACCGCAGAAAATTCGCAAATCCTTTGATTGTCTGTTTAAAATGAGGAGGAAACCAGCTCCCTTTGCGGCAGGATTACAGTGGGAACAAGATCTAAAGATTCTCTTGTAATTCGGTGAGGCCGAAGGAACGGGGTTTTGCAAAGGAAAAAAGGAGCTCTGTGAGGGAGGCGATAACTAAATCGGGTTTTAGACAAAAGGATTTTCCCCAGCTAAAGTGGCCGAAGACAAAGGAAAACATAATCTATTTTGGAAGATTTCCAAGATATGCTACATTAACCTTAGCAGATACATTTTGCTTCTCCCCGCCCCCCTTCCCTTCAAGTCTGGTTTATCACATTTACATAAGTAGTATTACAAGGGATGTATCTATTATGGATCTAAAGGGCTAGCTCACATTTCATGTAAAAACTCGGGCGAAGTTTCACTGTTGCTTTACCCTCGGTGAGCGGTGGAGCCATTTCCATTTAAATACCCCCTGACCCAAGGATTACCTCAATGGACTGACTGCGCGGGTTTTGTAATTTCCTGAAAATGAGATTTCGATTTATAAAACAAGAAACCAATTAGTAACCAAATGAGGCGAAGTAGATCCACTAAAATTGACCTAATCCCACAGGCACAATTTAGGCCCCTTCTTGGTGAATGAGTGATGAGCCTCAGTCTAGCGTGCGCTGGAAGCATCATCCAGCTGTGTTATTGCAAGCAGCAAAAATAAATTGATCGAGCTTTTCCTTCGGAATGAATTTCATACCCTTGACAAAATATAGATAACAGACCCGGCATCCTGGCCTCCTTCAATCAGACGGAAAGGAGAGGAAGAGCAGAGCTGCTTCTACTGTTCTTTTTTTTTTTTTTTCCTTTTAATAAACAAACACTGTATCTCAATAGAAATGTGTCCTTCTTGTAGTCAGTCCCGGAAACCTTCATCTCCGGAATAATTGCTATATGCATTTTAACCAACACGGTCGGGCCTGGAGCTGTCCCATGACGAGATCACAACTCGGTGGCTGATGCGGGAAAAGCCCTCCGAGGCCTCGCTCCTAACACTGGGTGCCTGAGGGACTTGTCTCAGCCACCTGGGTTTTTCCCAGCGCCCGCGCGTCCTCATGAGGTTCCTCACCCAGCGCGCACTGTCCGAGCCTTTTCGTGGGCCCGGCAACCAAGCAGCCTTAGGGCTCTGGGAGCCTCAGTGGATGGATTCTCCTGGGAAGACGGGGACGGAGACTGGGCTCCCTTAGCCCAGATCCAAATCCAGGAGCGGACACTGGGTAGGAGGCTGCTTCGCTCACCTAGGCGCACCCACGCCCAGCTCCGGCACGGGGCCCGCCCCACTCTTGGCCCGCTCTGGCCACCTGAAAGGTGTGGCCGACCTTCCTAAGGCGTCGGTGGCCTCTGGGGGCCAGGCTTTGTCCTGCGCAGCAGCCCGGACCCCAGCGCGTTTGGCAGCGGCAGTGTGCGCCCTGCCTTTTTCCTGTCTGCCTCAGGCACCCCCACCCGAGCGTGGGGGATCCACTGAAGTTAGTGTAATTCTGGGGTGGGAGCTCTCTGCGCCCCCGTCCTGCTCTGGACCCCGAGCTGGGGCTTCCCGGGCGGGATGGAGGCTGCCGGCCAAGCTGGCTGTGGG